AAAAAAAAAAAAAAAAAAAAAAAAAAAAAAAAACAAAGCGGTTTTTCAAATGTTTTTCCAAGTGAATTTCACGAGGATGGAAAATACATCACAGCTTTTTTGACTACTGCGAAGTCAACTATCGCTAAATCACAGCCTTCCCATTTGAATTTTGTTCTAGCACAGAAATGAAGCATAAGAAAGCCTTTTGAATGCTTTGCTGCTTAGTGTTTCAATGGTCACCAAAATCTGAATTCAGAACACGTCATTATTTGCGGCATCTGAGAAAGGTCATACAGATATCGTTAGGTATTTGGTACAAAACAGAGCTGTCGTCAACGCAGTGGGCATATCAGGGGTAAACATTGGTACAAAAAATCAATTTTGTAAAATTAAACTTTCAAACGTTCTCCTTTTTGGACTGATTTTAGGTCTTAAAAAAGCCATATTTTAATGCGGCTTTATAAAGTGGTTATTGTTCAGAAAATTTTGTTTCCAAATTTAATATTATTTCGGTAAACCATGAGTCATGTTAAATTGTCAATAAAAAACTTTCAGGTCATCACAGAAGAGTTTCCTAACGTTTTCTGCCTAAATTTTTTGCTGTCCACAAAGCAAAAAGAAAAAAAAACTTTTTAGGTTATAAATCGTTTAAAATATTGATTATGGCAAACTTTTACTTTTAGAAAACACCACTGTGTGTTGCGTCTGAAGGAGGCCATCTGGAAATCGTAAAGTGTTTAGTGGAAAATAGAGCTAAAGTCAACGCAAAAGGCATTTCAGGGGTTAATTTTTTGTAATTAAAAAGAAAATGTTGGGGAATTACTGATTTCGGCAATTTTTCAACGGTTTTTTCATAGCTTTATAGTATAAAACAGTTGACAGATTTTGCTGCGAAAAAAGCGCTGTTGTTTTTTCCTTCCGCACCAAAAGCAGACCAAGCTTTTCTTTAGGCTAAGTTTAGTGCTGGTTTATTTTTTGTTCCCTAAAATTTGTTATTCTAATCGCTGTTGAAAGCGACTAAAGCACTGTTTGAAGTACTTGAAGAGGGGTAAGAGCATCAACGCTATGGGAGAACAATAAACTGGGTAGAAACTAGCGCCGTACTTTTTGTCTTACTGTCCTCTATGAGTTTAGCTCATTTTGCTGCGTAGTTGAGGGCGGCAAAATTTTTTTTCAAACAATTAGCAAAAAACTTGTAGACTGCTTTCTCTGTTAGTGCGTGGCTGAAAAGCTGGTAACAGTTAGGCAGACTTTTACGAAATTCATACTTCAAAAATCGCTGTTATTCATTCTCTTCCGGTTTTATAAGAAAATTCCTGTTTGTCACGCTGCAGCTAACAAATTACAGAGAAAAGTACTTTTAAGGGCGTTTTGAAATAAATGATTGCTTCATCGCTTTTCCTTTTAAAGTTTGATCTTCAACTTTACAAAACAATTTCTGAAAAATGCTAAGTCTTTCGAATTTTGACTAAATCTTTATCTTAATTTACCGGTGTCGCAGCGGCAAACACTTTTTATAAAATGCAAAAGTCTTAAACATACAAATACTGCTATAAAGTAGAACTTTATATGCATTCTATGTAGTTAGAAAATTCAAGTAGCTTCGACTAATTTTAGAAAACACCGTTATATGTAGCAAAAAAAACCTGCAAGGCGGAAGTTGTAAAGCACTTGTTGGAGAAAGGAGCAGGCGGTGTAGATAAGGTAAGCATCCATTGAACGAAATTTTTTTTTTTTGTACAGAAGTTCATGACAAGAATACATACATTTTTCAAAACCTGAATTTGTGCTTCTGTCGTTACAGTTGCAACAAACAAAAAAGTGTCATATTTCATATCTTTATGGAATTTTCTGAGCTAAAATAGTCTTACATGAAACTTTTTTCAGTATAACGTTAAGGCAATATCTTAATGTTACTGAAAGGTTTTGAAGCAATTTTTATTTAAATTTTCTTAAGTCTAAAAAATTATCTTTAACATCAGTTCGGTAATAATCTTAAATAATCAGTTCAATCTAGAGACCTTTGTGCGTGCTCGGTATAAAACAGAAAACGTTATTATCGCCAAACGCAGAACAAAACTATGAGGTAATCTGCGAAGAATGATCAGCGCCTAAAAAAATTATTTTTTGAGAAAACTGTCTTCAAAATGTCGAATTCTTGTAAAATTTCTTCTTTTTTATGAAATGAAAACGTGAGCTTCTGGTAAATTTATTTCTATTATTGCAGAAAATGCAGTTTTTAGCGGTTATGTAAAATAATTACTACGAAATAAATTATGCTTATAATTAATTGTTCGATACTAAATTTGGATGAGTCTTCTTAAGAAAGGAAATGGTAGCACGACTTTATTTGCAAATTTCAATTAAAAGCTGGGAAAACAGAAAAAAAGGTCGTTTTAGCTTTGACTTACCCATACCATTTTTTAAAGTTCAGGTATCGGTAATATGGAAGCCTTTAAGAACGAAATGCAACTGCAAGTGGAGGTATAAGATGGAAAAGAAAGATGAATGACCACAGTCGACGTATGTACAACAATTGTTGATTTCAATAAAGAAGAAAAGAAATTTGAGTTTTAAAAAAACGTTTCCTTTTCGTAGATTTATAGATAACATCAGTAACGTTAGGTGAAAACTTGACATTTTTTGGCTTCTCTAAAAAACCTGTAGTTGCTTATTGTTTCAGTAGCTGAGTTTTTTTTTAGCTGCAACCTTGATTAAAACTACAAAAAATTTTTGTATATTACACTTTAGATTGACTGTTTTTGCTTTATAACTATATCGTAAAATTTTAAAATTTTTTTGTTTATTCTATGCACTTACTCTCTATTAACCAGAAACTTATTCTATTAAAGCTTCTACTTCTAGTAAATAGTCAATTTATTGTAGCGAAAAATTATTTCATTTTATTTGCTTACTTTACTGCGTTTTACTTTTTGTCAGGTCGGCATAGATCAGTTTTTATTACAGCAATAGGAAATAAATATGTGCTTGAAAGAACCAATGCATCGAGTAGGGAAAAAAACTGCAGATAAATTTTTCAAGCAAATAGGCCTAAACATGTTGTTTTTTTTTAGAAAATAATGGCTTGTTCTGTCACTTTTTAGGAAAATGTTGGAAACTTTTGCACCGTTCTTTGATTTTTGGCAAGTTTTAGAGTTCTTCGTAATGTGAAACTTTGTTGATTGCAGAATTGTTGAAAAACCAGTGAGCGCTTAATAGCACCTGTTCTTCTACTTTTTAGCATGACAGATATTTTCGATTTTGTTCTGCAAACTGTTTTTTGCCTTTTCAAGTATCACAGTGCTGTATTCACTACGTTGCACATGCTTACAAACTTCAACTGTTATAGATGATGAATAAATCTGAACAATAAATATTTTATACCTCACATCTTTTGCAAAAAATAATAACTAAAATGTCATCTCTCAAACTTGTTTCTTACTTCAAGTGAAAATTCCTTATATGTCGCATCAACAAAATGACAAAAAACTACATTTTTGGATATCTTCGCTGGTCATTTTCTTACTTTTTTAATCGACACTGTTATAACTGAGCTACCAACAATTCGTCTAAAAACTCTAAATGTTTATTCAGTTTTCTTATTCCTCTCTTATATTTCACAAATCTGTTTATGTTTCTTTAAAATTGAAAAAAATAGAAAAAAATTTCATACAATGAGAAGACAAATCTGAATGTTAGACTGTTTGTAAAAATTTTTTTTATCAATTTTTCATTTAATATACTGCGTTACTAGAAAAACAGATGTGAGCAGGAGTGGAGGAAACGAATTGGGTAAGTAATTGCATATTTTATCAACAACTTTAATAAGTGAATCAGAAAAAAAAAGATTGTGACGAAAGAAAACTGCTTACTGCAAAAAACATATCAATATTTTTCCACCTTAATAACTAATTACTGTAAACTAAATGCTTCTTCTGCCTGCACTCAACGACTATTATCGATGAAATTAAGCCATTTAAAAGCTTTTAGAATAAGTCCTATCAGCATTTTTCAAGAGAAAAAAGTGGATAGATACATCAAAGAAATTTGTGTTTAGTGATTGATGAAATAACGGTTGTCTTTCTGAGGCTTTCGGCACTGATTTTTACATTCATTTTATTTCTTTACACAAAACTAAGTTATCTCCATAATAAAAAAAAAACAAACTTTAGGACAAATTAAATATAAAATAACAA